CTTTTCCCGAAATTTTGGGACTTGCCAACGTAATGTTGAACTGATTTTGACCTTACTGAGATAATGTGGAGGCAAATCTAGGGGAAATTGGCTTATTTCGCGGGAAAATTGAATGACCTTTGAATTGACGTATTTAGGGGTCCGAACCCCCCCCCCCTTAAAATTAGTTCGAAGTGATCTCTTTAATTTTTACTTAAAAGTGAACACAATTTGGTAAATTTTCCCGTTTTATTTTTTTCTTTACGATAATTTGAATCGCAGTTATGATTTTTTGAATATAGGTCAAATTTGACCTTTGACCTATCATAACTCGGTCAAAAATTAAAATATTGATCTGCGGTTTGCGCCAAAATTCTTAGTTTTTTATGTTCTTTCGAATGAGGTATCTTGAGATAGGGGTTGCCATTGGAGAAAAAAGTTGGGGGCCCCCCGCATCCCCCCTGAGGGGGGACCAAAATTTTGACCTCCCAAAAGATGGTCTCCTTTGATATAGGAACATTTCCAAAGTTTCATTTCTCTAGCTCAATTTGTTCAAAAGTTAGCAGGGGTGGGACGGACTTTTGGTACACCCTGTATGCCTGTAACCTGGTGTCTCGATCCCCCTCCCACCATTATTTTTAAAGACTCTCTGGAAACCTACAAAGTATTATGCGTAGTCTCGCTAAAATTAAAGATCAAGGTTTTTTTTTTTTTAAAAAATTAACAAAAGTTACTGTGGAAGCATTCCCTGTAAATGCAACAATTATACATAGAGTACATAGAGTCGTAATGTAAATGGAAGAGCTGGTGCCATGTTCTGCTCGACGAGTTCCGAGCCCGGTGTGCGCCGAGTTCGGGTCACTTTTTCGATACATGTTCGATTCAAAATGACGGTGTGGAATACGTGGTGATTCCTATATCTTCTTTGTTCACATCGGATGGCCGGGTACCCGTGTATCGCAAACAATCGATCATGTATCGAAAAAGTGACCCGGCACGTAACACAAACGTCTCGGTATTCAGGACCCGGAAAATGCTTAAAAGTGGCGCCAGCTCACCCACTTACATTACGACTCTATGTACTCCGCGCAGTTACAGTATGAACGTGCTTTTTTAACAGATCTCTAGACAATGTGATTTTGGTTTCAATGAGATCTTTTTGAGCTCACTAGATCAAAAACTCACCAAAGTAGAGTTTGAGAGACGACGTTTTGCAAAATATCTAGTTTTAGGAGATACAAAACCTACAACGTGATAGTATAATTCACAGTAACAATGAGCTTTGAAAATGCAATGCACTTAGCAAGTCGCGTTCACGATCCTAGTAGCCAAAATACTGTCAGATACGGTATCGTGTGAATACCATATTTAATACAAAATTAATACATGATTTATGCAGTAATAAATACTTGTATATACAGGGTGTCCCAACAGTCCCTTCCACCCGCTATAAAACTTCACCTTATTAATATTTTGAAACGAGACTTTGGGGATGTTCATAAGTCAATGTTCGCTACTTTCGGGGCCCCGTATAATTTTCGGGCCCTTACGGACCCATACTTTTTTTCAACAGACAAGCCCCCCCCCCCTCTCTCTTTGTGACACATCAATTGGGAGAAGAAGGAAGAAGAAATTTGTTTGCGCAAACTGCAAGTCAAAATCTTCTTTCTTAACAAAATGACGGCCGGTCAAAGTTCAGAATAACGGAAAAATATCTCCGTTTTTGTTGACGGGTTGGGATGAAACTTGGCAACCGGGGTTTTTTGGGACGAGAAAAACAATTCTGGCATTAGTTTTCCGGGAGATTTTTTCCTTTTTAAAATAGTGACCTAAAACAGTGAGAGAATATTTAGGCTGCTTATTGGTGGATTTGCATGCAACTTGGATTCCGGGGGTGTATTTCAGCACGAGAAAAACGAATCTTCCATTGGATTTTTGTGTTTCTGATCGACTTCAAACTGGCCGTGGAAACATGACGAAAACTTGGTATACCTCGCGTTTACGGTTGAATTTCCATGAAACTCGGGCCTCTGTTGCTTTCTGGCTTGAAAAAAAATGACTATTTTGCATTACAATTTTGAAATGCTAAAAACTTCCAAAGTGGCGGCCGAGTTTCGTGCGAATCCATTCTTAAACGTCAAGTTTCCGCCATTTATCTGCCGCCACGTTGAAGTTATTTAGAATTTCAAAAATCCAATGGAAGATTTGCTTTTCTTGTGCCAACATACTCTCGGACAACAAGTTTCATGCACATCTACCGATGAGCAAAATTACCCTCCCTTGACATGTGTGGCATTGGAGCTCCACGGCAGCGGCCGCGGCAATTGGGCGATCACCGAGGTTAAGCAACGTTGGGCGTAGGTAGTACTTAGATGGGGGACCGCTTGGGAAAGTCCGGGGTGCGGTGAGTTTCGCAGAGGCTAGGGGAGCACCTTAGGTGTCCAAAGGAGGGATCTTAGCCCCTAAAGATTATGTCGTCTATAATGGAATTTAATTTTCGTTTATAATCTTTAATCTTTTTATTCTATGGCTCTGCATTGTGGTTAAGATGAGAAAATCAGCTGTGTTAAACTTGCAAAAGCAGCAAGATACTTGAGCACCTACAACTGCAAATTAACGGGAAAACGACTGAAAACCCTCGTAAACGCACGTGTTAGGTCAGTGAATTTTCCACTGAGGTCAGTGCAATTTGCTCCGAGGTCAGTTCAGTTTTCTCTGACGTAAGTGTTAAAGCACTTACCCAAGAAGTCAGCACTGAGGTAAGAGGCACTGACGTAGGGAGAAAGACTTCCCTAAGTGCAGAGATATCTCTGAGGTAAGCGGGACTGAGGTCAGGGCTTGCTTCAGAGGATAAGTCTCTGACATCAGTCTTAATCAAACCGCACTCACTCCCAAAAAGTAGAGATGGCTCCCCCTTCCCCCACCCTATTTTATTTTCGTACGGGAATATTTCCTCGGGATACGGGGACCACAAACTTTAGCTTACAGAGAGGCATATTTTTTAGGAGGGGGGATTTTCTAAGAGGGAAGGAAAACTTGTTTAGGTAGCCACACTCTTGAATAAATTTGTTTTACCTGCTTCGTTTATGGTGGCACTTAAATAATTAAAACACAAAAAAATGAGATCGGTAAAAATATTATTACCGCTATAATATGTATTTAGATGTATTTATTTAAGCCATATTATTTTTTTTAACGAGTTTTTTTTTTAAAAAAAATTGTTTTAAATTTGGTTCAATTTTTTTCAGTTTTAACTGTTTTTAAAATGTTCCAGTCTTAATGTTTTTTTTAAATTTTCCGAATTTATTTTTAATTCTTTTCCAACTTTTTTACTCCTTTACTTTTAATTTTTGTATCTGCTAATTTATATTTTTTGTATGATTTCACTTTAATTATTTTTTTTTTACATCCTCAGCTATAATTTTGAATTTTAATGCGTTCAATTTTTTTCAAAGAAACATAACTTATAAAACTCCATTTACTTACATGTTGATTGATTAAAAAAGAATAGGTACTAAAAAAATTAAGTATCGGATTCAAATTCAAAGACAAAATCATCATTTGCTGGCAAAATTACTCCAATGGGGGCCCTGAAATGGCATAATTACGCCCCTAACACTTACACGCGCAGGTAGTGTAGTGGTTCAGTCGCTAGGTCGATCACCAAAGTTAGGCTACGTCGGGCCTAGTTAGTACTTAGATTGGAGACCGCATGGGAACGAGCGTTGTTCACTGAAGATATTGTGATCATAACTTGTGATTGAAAACTCACAGCAGCCCTCCCTAGTCGTCAAATAGTGAATTAACGTACCTGGAGGATCGGTAATTAACTAAATTTTTGCCTCTACAGTATTTCTGGGAGTTTCCACTCCGCTTACGTCGGAGCGGTCAGTGCCGGTGCGGTGCGGTGCGGTTAGGTCAGTGCCACTTACATCAGAGGCACTTGCCTTTGGAACAGACCTAACACTGACGTAGCAGATCAGCGCCCGGCAGCACTGACATCAGTGCTTAGGTCTGTTCCAAAGGCAAGTGCTACTGATCTGAGCACTTGCCATTTTTTTTACCCAGGTAGGAAGTAGATTTAGCTTTTTGGATTAGCGAAATCAGCTACGCACGTGTGTGTAAGTTAGCTGAAATCGGTGTAGCGATTTTACCTGCACAGTTTGCACGTTCGTTTTTTTGCTACACCATGCAGTTGAAATACCCGCGTGCACGGCTATTTTGGCAATTTTTTTTTTCAGTGCGTTTTTTGAGCCCCTGCTTGATCTAACATTGAGCACCGTCGGCGTTGCCTTGGGAACATATTTATCAACTCCACTGTTTTTTACTATCTCCAATTATATTAAAGAATTATCTTCTTTTGCCTTTAAAAATTACGAAAATCTTTTGAGCTTCTTTGTTAAAGGCATCTTTGGAGGGTAGTGTCTCGGCAAAATTTTGCACAAATCTGCTTAAAAAGATTTTTTCAGAACTGTAAATAAATCGTCTAGAGACCTGTTTGACCTGCATGTTGATACATTACGTCGTTCTCTTAGAACTGTAATTACTGCACTTATTTTGGGACACCTCGCAGACCTATTATACTGTTATACTATGGAATGTGAAATAATTAATTCACATTCCACAGTATAACTCCAAATACTTAAACTGCCTTGAGGATCTCATTGAGTCTCAATAACTGCAAAAAATGAGTTTGTGAAAAAATTATCATTTACATCGGTAAGCTTCTTTGCAATTTGGTGAAAACACAAATTTATCGCGCTGTCCTAGATTGCTCATAAGGAGTTGAGGTCTGTCGATTCTGAATCGGATCAGCAGTGAAAATGAGATTCTCTTTGAATTTAAAACCTAAAAACCACGATTTTCGAACATCGATATATCTACAATTGCCAAGCTTAGATTCACACCAAGAACAGAAAAAAATGAAAAATTATTCAGCGCACACCGTACAAGAGTCTTTGTAAAAAATCGCCTGGAACACACTTAAATACCATACACAATGGCATGTATTTGCAGCATACCTTGTACAGATCATTGTAATGGTTTTCAGGGGGATACGCATATGGATTTGGAGGCAGTTTAACTCCAGCTCGTTTTAATAAAGTCTCAAAATCATCGATCGTCAGAATATCAATTGTTTCCAGTTTATTTCTTCTTATCAAAAGACTTAGATATTCTACATAGTGTTTCCTGTGTTGGAATAATCAATGGCAAAAATTTCATACATAAATACATAGTACAAAACAGCATCACTCATGCTTTAAATATGATGATGTGGCGGGCACTGATCAGGATCGCAGCCAAACTACATTTCATGTTGCCTAATTTTTTCTCATTCTCTAGGTATTCATTTTACAGAAAACCAGGTTATTGTACCTTCCCACATATAATTGCACACATCGTAATATAATCCGTAAAAAAATTTAAAACTGGTAAATTTTACGTGTACGAAAGATGTGCGTAAAAGAACTCGTAGAAATCAGAGCCGGAGAACTTTACGAAAAAAAAAATTGTGATTGAAGACGTAAAAAAATCAGGGGGTTAAACTGAAATCTTGAGGTACATACAAAATTCGCGATTTTTTACGAACAGAAAATCAGGGGGAAAAAATTCAGAAAAAAAATTATACCCGTAAAAAATCGTAGTTTTTGTACGTGAAAAAAAGGTCATACAGAAATTCAAGGAAGACAAATATTTGTCGTTAAGAAACTACAATTTTTTACGTACAAAACTGTCGTTACTGAATTTTTTTCCGACTTTTTTACGTAAAAAATCACTATTTTTCTTTTGCACCTCTGCGAACATCTATTTTTTATGTAAAATTTCTTGTTACGGACCACCAAAATATTGGGGAGAATACACTGAAAATTCGCTAAAGTGACCGAACACGAAAAACCTTTGTAGTTTTTATTACAAAAGGTACTTTTGAAAGTAGGTATACCATCTGTATAATATCCATGATAAATATTATTTTTTGCTCGTATCCAGTTTTTCCAAGTTCAAAGCATGTTCAGCAATTCGCTCTCACGCATGTTCAAAAATAAAAATATTCATTTATACAGCGCAAATTCGCCCCTTTCATACAGAAGCCCCGTTGACTCGGTAGGTAGCGCATTCGATTCCTGATAGGCAAGTCCCTGGTTCAATTGCTGACGGTTGGATAATGATTTGCAAGTTGATCTCAAGATGAATCAATTGACGACAGATCCAAATATGTAAAAATTCTATTTTTTTTCTTTACGATTTATCATTTTAATCAGTTTTAGGAAGCACGAGTTTTTTTGCGCATAACTTTTTACGTAAAAAACTTCGTACCTACTCTTTACGAATTATTCTTGTGAAAAAGACTAGACCGGCATTTCACTTTAGGTCTATTTTACGATTTTTTTTATTTTTTGTTTGTTTTCGTAAATAGTAAGTCGTTGTGGTACTAGGGTTTTGCACTAAAACTTCTTACTTTTCATAATCCTCGCTACTTAAGTAAATTCGAAAAATGTCTTTAAGCATCATGTCACCCAGAATCCTGTTGAAAATACAAAACATGATGCGAAATTAGGCGACATGAAATGCAATTAGGATGATATTACTTAATGCTGATTAATTGATACTGATAAAAGTAAAGATCCCATTAGAATTTATGGAATACCTATTGATTATTGCTATTCGGTTTTAAGAGTTTGAATTGAAAAAATGTTGGGCACCGTTGATACGAAAGAATGAACGTTGATACGATGGAAAGAAATTTAATGTTGACTTAGCATTTATTCTGTTAAAAATATGTCCGACAAGTTTCAAATGCTGATTTTACATTTTAACAAATGCTAACGGAACTACGCCCACTGCAAAACGTACATATTAAAATGTTATGTCAGCATTTTTGTATTGTAAAATCAGCATTTGAAACTTGTCGGACATCTTTTTAACAGTGTAAATGCTAAATCAACATTTAATTTTTTTCCGTGTAAGTAATAAAGACTGATCAAATGATATAGGTACCCTTGGTTCAATTACAAAATCATAAGCGAGTATAACATAATAAGAAAAATCCAAATATCGCTTTATCAAGCCATGAGTTAAGATTTTCTGTTAAAAGAGTGGAAATTGATTAAGGGTCAAAAAATTTCTGTGGCACTTTAATGAATCAGGAGTACAACATTTCTGCAGCTTATCTGAGAATGATTTTAAATTCGTAAAAAAAAAAAAAAAAAAAAAAAAAAAAAAAAAAACGCAGAATCCATTAAAAAGCAAAGAGAGTAACTTCGAAGGGAAAATTAAAATCAACCAACCAGAGGCCGCCAATCTTGATGACGTACAACTAGGCCATATGTTCGGTTGGACTTGAGCCTATCAGCAAATGCGGACTCCCTTGCTGCTCAGTTATAATAGACCGCCAAAAATATAATATTTCAAACGAATTCAGATTTTGGTGAAGTCTAAATCAACTTTCTCCATACTTTTGGGTGAAAAAATAAAAATCGAAAAATTACTCGAAGCTCATCCTATATATTAAAATGCAAAGTTCCGAATCTTTGGGCGTTAACTTTGAGAGAACCACCGGACCGATTTGCCTGATCTTTTTTTTTTTTTTAAATGAAAGCCCCTGAGCTGTAGATTTGCAGGCTGTAATTTGTTTTTCGATTTTTTTGAATTTTCTCCTATAATTTTCTCAAATTTTCTCCAATGTATTAAAACGGAGGTCCGAATCTTTGGACGTTAACTTTGAGAGAACCACCGGACCGATTTGCATGATTTTTGTTTTAAATGAAAGCCTCTGATCTGCAGATTTGCAGGCTGTGATTGTTTTTTCGATTTTCTCAAATTTTCTTACTTTTATCGACGAGTGAAGTTTAGCTGGGCTCAAATTTTTTTCCATTAATTCAGACTAAAGTCCGAATTTTAGGACATTAACTTTGAGAGAGCCACCGGACCGATTTGCATGATTTTTTTTTTTTTTTTTTTAAATGAAAGCTTCTGGTCTGTAGATTTGCATGCTGTAAGTAATTGCTTTATCGATTTTCTCAAATTGTCTTACCTTTATCGACGAGGAAAGTTCAGCTGTTTCGAGCGGTCGTCCGGCCGCTACCTGCTTGCCCGTCCCTAGGTACCCCCCCCCCCTCTACGGTCTCAGCCATCCCTCCCGCTACGTTCTTTCGGCTATCTCCGTTTTCTTTCGTATAGCTCTCCTCCCACCAACCTCAAAGAAAGAGGTTTGGGCCGCAGCATCGTTCGTCACTCGCCACCACATTCCTTCGCAATCCCTCGGCTGCTCCGCTTCACAGCTCCTTGATATCCTGGCATCTTATTCTCTGCGGCTTGACTGACCCTGACTTATTAATTGTAGTATTGCGTATTGCTGACAACACGTATTGCTCCGATTCCAATTAAGCTACTGCACCACCATTGCTAGCTGTGGAGGGCGCCCAGAGCAGCTAGTCTCACTTAGTACTTAAGAGAAAAGACCTTACCACTGACCCATTTTGATTTACATCCTGCTTGACATTTTTTAATTTAACAATCTAACATTTCTGGAGTAGAATAACACTTTCACTGTGGAAAAAAGTGTGCCCTAAATATCAAATAGGTAACCCCGGTGAAAAATAAACATTCTTGTCAGTCTAGCTGCTATACAGTCCGAGGCAAAAACGGGGAAACTCCGTTCCAAGTTTTGAATTTATCTTTCTCACTTACTCCTTTAAATATTACACGAAATTTACCTATTCTTGCTTCAGTTTTTCAAAATGAATTTTCACTGATAGGTAGGTACCTATGTTACAGTCACTCTACAAATATGAAGGAGGAGTGTTCGTTGGATATTTTCATAGGTTTGTATAGAACGTTTTGTTAGGGAAAAAATGCTAACATCCAGAGTAGGGTTACGGCGCTTTTGCTGCAGACGACAAAATGAATGACTGTGACGACAAATACTTCAATTTTGGGCATGCGTTGACTTAAGATGTCTTCTATTTTAACTATTAATGGTAAAGAAGGAGAAGTAGAAAAACACATACCGGCAAAGACCTGCTCGAAAAATTTGGTAGTTACAAATTCCTTCAATTAGTCCATCTGATGTCTCTCTTTGAAGCTGCACATCACACCTCTTGTTTTCCTTTTCAGTTGTATCAAATTCTACACTGTTTATCTAAAACATAATTCTACATAGTTTAACTAAAACATACATTGAGATCAAAGCTAAGATAATTGGAGGAGCTCTCTTTGGAGGAATCAATCTACTTTTATAGGAATCGCCTTCTAACCCTGCTAAAAATTTCTCATGGAAATGACATGTGATCACATGGGCTCTCACGGGAATGGCATGTGATCACATGTGCTCTCATAGGGGAATGACACGACATCACATGTGCTCCCCTGGGGAATGGACAGGGGAGCCCGTGAGCTCCCCTGGGAGCTAACATGTGACCCGTGCGCTCCCGTGAGAGTGTATATGTGACCCGTATATGTGCTCTCACGGGACCTCTCACGGTGTCCCGTGGATCATCATTGAACTTCCGGGAAAATGCCATGGGCCCATATGTGACTGCAGTCCATCACAGTGGAGCATCACAGAACTATATTCATGGGAAATGCATACAGGACCTTACAGCGTCTTATAAAGACGTCACCAAACTTATGAACGGATACGGTACGACAAAACACTGCGTCTTTATCTACTTTAGATGCTTTATAAGTTATACCTTGATAAAAATATTTCCCCTGGGGCTGCACACGAGATCATCTGCTTCCCTGAGGAATAGCAAGGAAAGCCCCTGTGCTCCCCAAGGAATGACAGAGGATCCCCTGTGCTCCCAATAAAGAAATGAATAGGGGGACCACCTGTGCACCCATGGGAGTCTAGGGATCTTCAGTCCTGTCCCTCCGTCCCCGTGCGTCCCGTAGCTTTAAGGTTCGGTTGGCGGACTTCCGGCTTGTCGGTTGTTTTTTTTAGTTTATTTATTTTTCAATGCATTTTATTTATTTGTTGATTTTTTTATTTATTGATTTTTTTTAAATTTATTGTTTTTTTATTTATTGATTTATTTTCATAATATAGCTTCCCATGGGAGCCACTTCTCATGAGAGCCACCTCTCAGAGGAATTATTCCCCTGCCCAAAACAGCCTGAGTGAAATTCCCATGAGAAATTTTTAGCAGGGCAAGAGAGTGTTTTGAAATGATATTACAACCTCATTTTCCTCTTAAGCGTTTAAAAGATATTTACTAAACAATGGGTCAGTTACGCTGGTCACAGAATCGTGTTTTGATGCTTGATTTTTGTAGATTGGCTAGGAATAATAAAATCTGCTCCAACAGCAACTTTCTACGTTCAATATTAACCACACACACACATCGCTCTTTGAGAAGTCGGGTTTTTGACGACATCCACCGCGGTAGTGACACCCTTGATTTCTTTCACCTTGCTGCTTTCATCCAAGTTTCACTTTAAGTAACCAGTGCAAATCTGCCGTGATAGCAAAGAGAGCAGTGAGTGCAAAGATGAAGTTTTAAGAAAACGGGCTCAGAGGCGTCGGACTAGAACATTTTATCGAAAGTAGCCTCCGTTCTTTGTCAAATTGCCACTAATCATCCTAAAGACTCTTAGAAATCGTTTGGATGATTCATAATCTACCGATTTTATTTCAATTAAATAAAAGGGTACTATTTATTTTCATGTAAGGCTAGTGTTAGGCAAGACAGCCGTGAGTGCTATCTTCTGAATGCCTTCTCGGTTGGACAATTGCATTTTGGATACACAACAAACACACTCCCAAGTTAAAAATTGGCAGTAGAGGGCAGAAATTTAATTGAAAGCACTATTTCTATTGACTCTCTGGAGGAATAATGTCACTTACGGCTATTTTGCCTGAAATTACGTCATTTTTTGCGCAATTACGGCTTTCTCGTGTACCTCGCGTTTTCATACTAATACGATGAATTTTGCTGTTTTAGCTAGGTACCTACATATATTTCAGTGATTTTATCTAAAAGAAATTAGACGACTTTTAGAGGAAACTCATTTTGAAACTTTGACACTTACTGCTCTCTTCGCTATCGAGTAGAGTCCCTTTATACCCAGAGTTAAGACAACTCGATTATCGGCTGACTGGCAGCCGGCCTTGGCTGGCCATGGAGGCCGAAACGAGTGCATCCAAACGAACGATATTGAGGGATAAGGATCAGGAATCCTCCGATGTCTGTCACACAAAAACAACAACATCAACAAATTGATCAGTTAAAAAGAAAATGAGATTGGTTTGTGAATAATTTCTTAATCTATTTTCATTTTGGACCGATGGAAATAACAATTTACTCTTGAAAAACCACAATTAGGTAATATTTTCATTATTCTTGTTCACATTCGTGGTACCGCCATCTTGGTGCACTCGTTTCGGCCTCCATGAGCGAGAACCAATCAGAATTGGATTTTTTTTAGGCCACTTTCAGCCCAACCCTGGCCCAACCAAAAGTGAGTTGTCTTAACTCTGGGTATAAAGGGACTCTACTATCGAGGCAGAAATATGCGTCTCACTGACTAGTGCAAACAACGTGGAAGAAACAAGGGGTGTCACTACTGGGGTGGATGACGTCAAAAACCCGAGTTTTCAAAGGGCGACATCAATGTTAATATTAAACGTAGAAAGTTGTCCGGATCTTATTATTTTTAGCTAATCTACAAGAATCAAGCATTAAAACACACTTCTGTAACCAGCGCAATCGGCCGATTTACCTATCTTCTGATTGAGTAAGTAATCCATATCAACTATTCAACTCAAGTAATACCTACGTAATGGGCCTGTTGTAAACTTCAGCTACAGCGAAAGGAAGAGCTGTTTCAGGAAACAGCTCTTCCTTTTGCTGTAGCTGTAGCTGAAGCTTCCATGGCAAAATGGCTCAAAAATCACAATGAGCGCATCGGGTAAGTCTAGAATACACTCCTAACTTCACAATCTGCGCAATAAATAAGCGGTTTTTAAACCTTCCGCCTCAAAAACGATACTACGACACAGACGAAAGTTTCGTAAAAAGAGTCACTACATCCAAGCCTTGCAAACTATAGGATGCTACACACTATCCAACATGGTTGACACTTCTGCATGCAAATCGTGAGCATACGGTACATAACGTGATCATATAATATATGAAGTGAGCTGGGGTCATGTTTTGGACGACGAGTTGCCTGGTGTGCGCCCAGATTAGGTCACGTTTTCGATACAATTTTGATAAAAATGGCGATTAATAGGCGCTATTAGTGCCACGTCATAGCCGGTATTGATCGCATCGAATTCGATCTAAAGTGCGTTGCCTACACAAAAAAAATACTGCATTTTTTGATTGGAATATGCAGCTTTTGGGGCTTATTGTTGTTGCCTTTTGATGTAATTCTGGAAGGGGCAACATTACTGGAGCAAAATGACGGCCGTTAAAGTCCACTATTTTGGTTTTTTCAAAGCGCAATCCTTCGGTTGCTATTGATCCGATGTTCATCAACTTTTTTTTAAATTAAAAGTAATTTTCAGGAAAACAATTTTATTTCTTATCAATTTCCCTGCTCGACTTACCTATATAATTTTTTTTTTTTTTTAAATTGGGCTAAACTAAATATGCTCCAATTTCCGGAATTTTCGAAGTCAAAGAACTTTTTGACAGGCGAGAAAATTTTGCCTCCTCTGAAGCGGACGTACCTATAATTTTTTTGACGGTTAATGTGATACCATGACCATTTCTGTGCAATAATATAAATATACCTACCCGTAAGAGCAATTTAGGTGATGCTGCGGGTGGCTGCGGGTGCGCGACGCGCGGCACGGGGCCCGTTTCGGTGCTCTAGACAGCTGACGCAACTCTTCAGTGTACTGTATTTTGGTTGCTTGCAATTAATTTTGATCAATTTTTTTACAAGCAGGTATGCTCGTGAAGAGTTAGATCTTTGAACTACATGGCAGTTAACCTGTTAATTTTTCAAAATTTCAAGAGTTCCAAAAATTTTCAAGTTTTTGAAAATTTTTTAGTTAGATAAGATTTTCCGGGCGAATAAATACGAGTATTCTGTTATCAAACGTAGGCGTAGGCTTGTTTCAGGTTAAATTTGATACCATAACAAATTTGTACGATGAAAAACAAACCCACGAGAGCAATTTAAGTGGAACACGACGGTGTGCGTCACACGGCGTATCTTTCCGTGTTGGTTTCGTTTGTCTCATTTGTGGTGCTGCTTCGAGTTTACGGCAATGTGAGTAACACAGCCGAAGATAGGAGAGACGTAGGTAATCTGGCCTCGTTTTGTAAATTTTCTTCCGAATCTGAGCGACACCTCATTGGCAGCATAGAGCGGAGCATGCAAGCCTACGCTCCGCGCCTTCAATTTTGCAGATGCAACACGAACATCCATCAAGCACGACTAGTCGTATCTCTGCCCCGTAGTCAACGGGCATCCTTTCCCTTGCTTTGTTTCCATATTGTGTTGGTTTCGTTCGTCTCTTTTGTATTGCTGCTTCAAGGGCTACATGAGCAACACAGCTGAAGATAGGAAAGAGGTAATCTGGCCTCGTTTTTTAACTTTTCTCCTGACTCTCACTAGCAGCATTGAGAAGATCATTGCGAGTTCATGCCTCACGACTCAGGTCATCGCGTCTTAAATTTTTTTCATGGAATGTGGACATCCATCTAGCACGATAGTTGCATCGCGTTTCAGATAACTCCTGTTTTTGAAATTTGAAACAAGTTAGGGTTAAGTTTCAAAATATGCTATGGTGTGTCCAAATCAATAGTCATTTCAAAAACTTTCTACCCCAAATAAAAAACCGCAAAACTTAAAGTTTCTAGAATTGTAGTACTAGGCTCCGGCCGCCGGCGCCTCTTGGGATTTATATCCGATTTATAGTTCCTGGCCATCCGTTCATTACTATCTTGCGTGCAAGCACTTTTCTTCACTCTTTACCTACTTCCTTTTCCTCCCGTTCATTCATTAAATTTCAGCATATTTTCTCGGTCATAAATTTTGTTCTATTCTTAATTTGCTACCTGTCAGAGGTGCGTGACTTCGGCTTGCCTCGGGGCGTATCTGCCAATGGCAGATCATCCTTGTGGTCAGTCCGAGCCTGCTGCAGAGAGGGACGGATAGGAACTTCGGGCCGAGGCTGCGTAGTGCTCTAGAGGCCGATGAGCGCAGCGCGATACAGGCGCGCCGGGCAGGAATTCTGCCCGGCAGCTGGGTGACGCGACGCATCGCGCGGGGGGAGAAATTTCTGGCACGAATTTTGTTGGAATTTTGCGCGCACTAAGAACTGTAATATAATGATGATCTTCCCTGGTGTGGAATATTTATAGATGAGAATGTATTCGATAATAAAATTATTGAAGGAGTCAAAAACAAAACATGTATCTATAGTATTAAGCAAACTAGATTTTCACAGAGTCCAAGTCAACGTAGATAAAAGTTTATTCTACGAATCCGACATAGAACCATTTGACCACATCGTAACAGCTGTTGGCGAAAAGTGTTAGCTGTTTTGTAAAGTTTTTGATTTCTCCAGTTCTCATTTCTTAGTTCAGTTCAGTCTGATACCTTGCCAGATGCAGGTGATTGAAAGCGTCCTTAGAGTGTTGTTTTAACCCCTGTTACCTTTAGCTTTTAGGTACCTTCAGCCTTTAACAGCAACGGTAATCGTCCAACAGTTGATCATGCAATATATCAGTATAAAGATCAGACCTCAGGTCTTATTTAGGTCCCTCTAGAAATCATTTTCCAGGCTTTGCACGGAAATCAGCCGCATGGAAAATTGGGACGGAAACCGGAATCATTTCCATGCGCATAAGTATGACATGGAAACCAACTTCATGGAAATTAGCCTCATTGAAAATGTTAAACAGGCTGGTTGGTAATAAAGAGGCACCCTGAAGAATTACTTAAGAAAATAATTCTCGAAATCGTGAAAAATAAAATTAAATGAACCATTGGGGAGTCCATGTTAGCGTTATTGTAGGCTTGACTTTTTTTGCCTGCATCGAGGATTGAATCTGGGACCTACCTAACATTAGTCAAAGACCCTACCGATTGATCTATACCGAGCGATGAGAAAGGGAGCCGAAAATCCCGGACTTGACTTCGATTAGAACGGATATCTAACTAGGATATATTTAGAATACAAGTATGTATATTTGTTCGTTTTTAAAAATTTATTTTATTTTTACTTCGTTCTATTTTTTAACTTTACTTTGTTTGTTTATTTTATTTTTTAACTCTGTTTTTTAAACTTTACTTTTTGTTTACTTTACTTTATTTTTTAACTCTGTTTTTTTAAACTTTACTTTATTTGTTTATTTTATTTTATTTTTTAACTCTGTTTTTTTAAACTTTACTTTATTTGTTTATTTTATTTTATTTTTAACTTTATTTTCTTATAGGTACTCAATTTTCTTTTACTTTACTTTATTTTTGTTTCTTTATTTTTTTCTTACTTTTCTTCATTTCATTACTTAGCCTTTTTTTTGTAAATTTTACGTCTTTGTGCTACTAGGGCAAGTGAAATTTTATGAACAAAAATTTTGTCTTTCTTTTCTTTGACCAAGAAATTAGGTGTCATGTTTGGATTGCCCACGCCGCCGCTCTAACTGGTGCATGCAACCTTGTCGGTCCTTCACATACCCTTGGTCGGTGGCCATACCTACCATCACTGGTCACTTGTCTCTTGCCATCCTGCATGCTCGACAGCACAACTTTTCTGATACGTGTGTTCGACTCGATAAATCTCGCTATGTGATCGTCAATTCGTGTCCATCTTGTTCTTCAGTCCACCAAACATATCAAGAACCTGTGCTTAAAAGTTGCGCCAGTTCTTTCATTTACATTACGACTCTGTGTACTCTATGATCGTGAGGGGAGCACCATGAGGTTTTAATCAACGCAAGGAAAATATAAATATAAACAAATGGATTGATAAAATTCCGTATTTTGACGTTTGCTTTGGCAGCTTGACGTCGGCTACGTTTAATATCGTAGGGATAAAGGATATTTTAAAGGCCTGAAAGAAAAAACTACAGCACTTGCGGTATACAGATTTTGTATTATTGCCCCGGAGGTTATGAAAAATTCAGCTGATATGAAACGTACGGATTAATTTTTGTTCTCTTTGTTGTTGTCGTTGTTGTTGTTGTCGTCGTCGTCGTTGTCGTCGTTGTCGTTGTTGTTGTTGTTGTTGTTGTCGTCGTCGTCGTCGTCGTTGTTGTTGTTGTTGTTGTTGTTGTTGTTGTTGTTGTTGTTGTTGTTGTTGTTGTTGTTGTTGTTGTCGTCTTCGTCGTCGTTGTTGTTGTTGTTGTTGTTGTTGCTGCTGTTGTTGTTGTTACAGCATTGTCATATTTCAATTAATAGTGCGTAACATCCTAGTTTTAGGACCCTAGTATTAGAAATTTCCACCTATGCTGTAGTATCGTTTTTGAGCCATTTTATAAAAGAAATTACATATCTATAGCTGAGGTTTGTAACAGCCCATCCACAAAATGGATAAATTACTGGATTTTTAAGTATGATAAAAATGTTTCAACTTACTGGAAAAATTGACAATAGATTTTACAATTCTGTACCTTACAGATCTCATGAGAGATGAGTAGGTATATGCTATATATTGAGAAATATTTGTCAGTGGGAAAGAAGCAATAATTCAGCTAGAACAAATTTTTATACCTAATCACTTTGATTAGGGGCTCGATTCCTTCTGTGATTTTTTTCTTGGGTAACTTAAAGAGAGAATTCTGCACACCCGTGAGGGCTTAGTAGGTTTCGCTCCATTTTGATTAGGTAAATCATAATGGATTGACATAAGGTTCATTAGAGGCCATAGCAAATAAATTATGTAATTCGGTCGTTTTAAAGTCGAGAAATTCGCAATGGACCACTAGACAAGGCACGAATTTAAGCAATCTGATACCTACATGTTTCTTAACCAGAATTTCACGTAAAACACGATTAGCGCAACGAATATTACTGAAACTAACTTCTATAACGAAGATTTCAACGTTTTTATTTCACACTGGTTACGAGGAATTTGAACTGCCCGCTCACAAGAAACTCAAAGCTCTACTCGAGTCAAATCGCGCACTACAACGGTTTCAGCAAGCTTCTCCATCGAGCAATGTTCATTTCCCATTATATGTTGTTAAAACCACAAGAATTTTGCTATAGCTGAGCCAAACCGTCAAGATTGAGGTTTCCAGATTTTTATATTGCAGAGACTATCATGATGGAAGTTTAGCGCGCGATGTGAAACACGTAGAGCATTGCGTTTTCGTGAGCGGGCGGTTTGAATTCACGCATCATGAATCATTAAATGTCTTCGTAAGGAGTTGATTTCGGTAACTTTTGCTATGCGCATCGCATTTTACGTGAAATTTTGGTTGAGAAACATGTATCAGAATGCTGAAATTCGTACCTAGTCTAGTGGTCCATTGAGCACGCGAATCATTTAATGAGGTAGTGGGAAGGCTATCTAAAAGGGTAGTAGGGTAAAGGAGGATTGAGAATAGCTTGCGGAGCGACGCGATGCCTTTCATTGCAAGATACAGAAGCGGAAACGAGCCTCACCATGTCAGTCAAATTTGAAAATCTGAAACAGACTGGACAGATTCGAGGAAAAGGTTACCGTACGGCCTTTGTGTACTAGCCGAACGTATAAGCACTTGTCCGTACCTTGTACTTGTACCTATTTCGGCTTATGCTCGACTAAATAATTTAATTTTTAGGTTTTTTACCAATGATGACCTTCATATATACCTGTTAAAGTTTCATATAATGGTACAGGGAGCTACCGAGCTGCCTCAAAGAGTGCAGAATTCTCTTTCTGCAAAGGTTAGAAACACAGGAATGGAAGGATAAATTCACAGGAAAAAAATATATGTTTCGATGAAAATTTGCATTTATTCTAAATCTAAAAAGGGGACGGCTGAGGAATATCAGAAAGTTTTCAAGGTTAAATGGACCATGAATGGTCTGAAAATAAAAAATCAAACTTACAGTGAGTAGGTTTTCCAAAACATTAGGCTCCTTATCTCTTAAAAAAAACAAACAATTTCTGGGATGGTGTGCGTGAAGCCCTAATTTCTCACAAAATGGCGATACTTTGCAGTTTGCACCCATTAGGAATGTATTTGAGCAGTCGGAACAGAATTCATGCTTGCACGCAGGACAAATTAAATGCATACAACCACCTTTCACAAGAGCATACCTGAAAAAGAGTGAAAAGCGTTTACTCAATAGGATGAAGCAAAGTAAGTAAAAACATGTAGAATTCACTACAAACACCGAGAATTAAGAAGAGTTAATGGAGAAGTAACTGAACATGAAAATGCCCGGGGAGTGGACGTTGTTCTTACTGTCGAAACTTTGCCTTCTTGATATTTCATGATTTAATTCTATGACAAACGCAGAGGTCTAAAAATTTCCTTGCCCATTTAACGATGCAAGTATCCATCCATAATATACAGCTACAAGCAAGATCTTGCGGAAGCGTTATTTCTGACGAACTACCCGACCGGTAAGGATGTTCCTTACATGTATGTCATCTGTAATTGCTGTAGATGTGCAAAAAATTATGAAACCCCGAACTTTCAATGTTGTAGAGCTTTTAAAGCTCATGGGACGTACGTCCAGTGTTAATAGCGTGAGAGATATGTCGATTTCCCCTAGAAACGTCTAGGTGTGGGATTCTACCTGAGTGACTCAAATAAACAAAAGAACAATGCTAACCCTCGTGCAGGGCTCCTCATTCCGAGAGTTGAGGAACGGCGCGGCGCAGCGCTGGAATGGGGATATCCCAACCGGAGCCTCCCGGCCTAAGGTTTTTACTCAATTTTTCCTCAATCTGCCGGCTTCGATTGTGGCATTGGTCAATACTTGATTGCCGAATTTCTATTAATATTAGCAGCAGATACTAAGTGAGAAGGTGGGCGCTGCGTCGCGTCGCGTCGGGGCGGACCAAATATTATTAACTCTCAACGGTCGTAAACCGATTTTTCTTTTTAATTAAGCATTCAAAATAACATAATAAATGAAAATTTCTCCAGGAAGTGGACTGCGTTTACAAAAGCGCACCAAGTCGCATTTCCCAAAAAATTCACTAACTACTTTACTAAACTAACTCTTCACTTTCCCCTTTTCTCGAGTTCATCTACGTGCGACTTGATGCGTTTCTATTAAACGCAGCCCAATTGAAACCCCATTCCTTTCTCAAAGGAAAAGAATAAAAGAAAAGTTATATTCAACGTGCGAATGTGAAAAAATGTAAAAAAAAAATACATTGTTAGAAAGTTCAACGCACACTTTCTGTCAAAATATAAAAATGCATGAGGGCTGGATTCGCCGAAAAATATGTGCCAGATTCCACAATATTGGTGATATATTGCATGGTATAGGTAAGAGCTTTTTTTGCATATCGATGGCTAAAGTCGAAAACCACGTACCTTGTCCACGGTGTTTCAAGATTTCCGCATCTAATTTACGACTGCGAAGGGTAAGGAGCCAATTTTTTTGCTTTGAATGTTCACAGAATATTCTTCGAGCAGAAGGGAAATCACTGTCGTTTTCAAAACATTTAGTACGCTGATTAGTTTTCCAATAAAAAAAAAAGTATGACGAGAAGTATACGACGTCGCAAATTGAAATACATGTTTCCCGAGTTTAGCCGTCAATACAGGGTGATCCAAAAGTCTCTTCCACCCCCTCTAACTTTTTACCTAATTGAGGCAAAGATTTGAAACTTGGGGGATAATCCTAGGTCAAAGAGAGCTACTTTTTGGCCCCCCTAAAATTTTCAGGGGGGCCCCCCTTGGGGGGCAACGGCCCTCAACTTTTAATTTTCATATGGGAAGACCCCCTTTGTGATAGCTCGTTCGAAAGAGCATAAGAAAAGAAAACTTTTCGCGCAAACCCGAAGTCAATATCTCAAACCGTTTCAAAATGGCGGCCGGTTAAAGTTCAAAATGGCCGAATATTCACACCGGTTATTTGTCGATGGATTTGCGCGGAAATCAGTACGTAGGGGTATTTTGACACGAGAAAAACGAATTTGACGTTAGATTTTAAAAAAAAACCGAATTTTCCAAAATGACCGCTGGATAAAGTTCAAAATGACCAAAAATTGATTTTTTTAGAAATCTAAGTTCAAATTTGTTTATCTTATGCCAAAATACTCTGAAATTCCAAGTTTTAGGCAAATCCATCAGGAAAAAATCGAGGTGACAATTTTCGGCCATTTTAAACTTTAACCGGCCGCCATTTTGAAACGGTTTGAGATATTGACTTCGCGTTTGCGCGAAAGGATTTCTTTTTATATGCTCTTTCGAACGAGCTATCACAAAGGGGGTCTTCCCATTTGAAAATTAAAACTTGGGGGCCGTTGCCCCCCTGAAAATTTTAGGGGGGCCAAAAAGTAGCTCCCTTGGACCTAGGATTATCCCCTAAGTTTCAAATCTTTACCTCAATTAGGTAAAAAGTTAGAGGGGGTGGAAGGGACTTTTGGATCACCCTGTATAATGCCTCTATTAATACCAAATTATGTACATTCAGCTATTCCTCATCGTTTACAAATCTGAGTGTTACGTTAAAAATTTTGAAATCGATGCAGCTCAAACACAAAATGGTGTATGAAAATAGAAGAACATTTTTTCCGATACATATGCGTATAGGGCCCGCGAGACGCACTCCAGGGGGTTAGACCGCGTAACGGCCAGGGGGCAAAGCTCCCTGGTAACTTCATACCGCTAAGGTGATGTCAGGTTACTGGGCGGGGGGTAACCGGGCCATACCCTCTGTATTTCTACCCTATTAGTGCTAAAATTGTTTTCACACTTGGTATACCTTCATTGTGACGTAAGCCATCTAGAACATGTAAACATAACCTAAAAAAAAAAAAATTCGGTGAATGGTGAAGGGTTTTTGCGTTTGGCCCAGATATTCCAGACCAAATTCTCATCAAAGACCAAAATCTGTCATCGGTGTCAAACTCGCTCCTAATGTAAACAAACAAACGGCGACATAGTCCGGACATAAACAAAGCAGATCTGGCAGATCTCGTCGAGATGTTCCAGACTAATTTTCTCAGCGTTATCGTTTCTTCACCTCGACAAAAGAACTTTCGTCCGCGTCCATCTATCCATTTCGTTAAATCAGATATCAGTTACCGCGTTGATCTGTTCATTGTGGTTTCATGTGAAATTGGAGCGAGATACCAGGGACGAGAACTGGTCCCTGGAGATACTCCGGACTCCTAAAGTAAACAAAGCGGCCTGTACGGACCTTGTACCTACCGGTCGAGATGTTCCGGACTCATTTCTTCATTTACGTTTCTTTCTTCATCTCGACCAAAGAAGTTTCCTGCGCGTCTAAAGTAACATTTTCCGGTTCCATTGTTAGAGAAGAAACAAGCCATTTTGTAGTAAGTTAGGATAATATTTGTGTTGATTGAGTGGCATGAGCATTGGACTACCTGGCACCTGGTTGCGCCTTGCCATGAGCATTGGACTACCTGGCTGCGCCTTGCATGGCAGCCTCTATCTCAAGATGATGGGGCGAAAAACTTATTGGTTGATGTGCAAATCTGAATCCTAAATCTCCAGTAACGGTAGTTGTGAAAACTAGATGGATGTACAATGATAGGTATACCTTGCTCCTCACTTACTTTCTTATGGATGTTCTCTGGTCTCTCCAAGGTTCTGGTTTTGCGTTGCGTTGAAGCCAATGCTTCAAGTGTAGCTATAACAACCAAACTTCGGAGATACCAATTAACAATCCTAGCAGTCACCAAATTCTCCAGCAAACCTGCATAGTTGTCTATTAGCAGCTGAAGAAACAATGGAAACCGTATTTACCTATGACAACAAAATTTTTTCCATCGGAACTCTGACAGTAAGTATGAGGGGGAACTATCACCTTTAAGGCATGTTTCTCCATGAATTTTCTTGTTGTTTGGCACTAAACTAAGTAGAACTCAAGGAAAATGAAGCAAGACTTTACAAGTAACCATGTGAGGTTCGTCTGCTGAAAAAATAGAATAAGGTTAAAATTCCTATAGAACATCACCAAGATGGTTCTGCCACAAGTGGCTCATTTTTTAAGGCACGGATCAAATACTGAGGTTACGTATAATTCTTACGGTGCCTACCAAATTATAGGAAAGAAACATTGTCCTGTAATAATAATGGCATGGAATGGTTGGCTCTAATTGGTAACTTGACCATCCCCAATAAGTTATCGAGAGAATTTACTTCTTAAAAGATCCTTTACGAAAAAAGCCAAGTAAATATGCAGATAAAGGTCCCATGTGATATGTGAAGAGTATTCAAAGGGAAGGGATGAAATGTTCAAAAGGTAACGTCCAAACTTGCCTAGTTGTAGGCTCTAGGCACAAATTGGACATGGTGCCGCTAAACAATGACTAAATGAATTTTTTATTGTTATTAATTACGGAAAAGAGGAAGGGAGAATCAGGCCGAATGCCAATGCCAGCCAAAATTTGAAAAATGTAGGGTGGGTAGGGTAGGGTGGTGTAGGTGTAGGAGCCGAACCATCTTCGAGATTACTGAGATTACGGGCGGCGAGCGGCAACCTGATTGGCTACGAAGATTGCCGAGTACGGCCGAAGGCCTACTCGCCGCTTGGTAGGTGTTGACGGCGGTTTGACAAACAGCAGTTTTTGGTGAAATGTGGTCCGGAATATCTGGGCCAATCTGTTCACTCATGGTGAAGTGCCGAAAATTGAACAGCTTTTTTTTCAAAACAACGTCGGAGGTGGTCCCGTAAAGAGCCTCATATCTCACTCCACGCAAGTATTTTATTCAACTTTAACATTTCCTCTTCATTTATGATGTATTTGTGTAATGCATGAGAAATTACAACATTATTGGATGGAAACACTGGCTGCAAAGGGTTGATGCCCAGTTACCTTGAAAATTTCCCCTTCATGGGGTAACTGGGCAGGTGCCACCTTTTTTTTATATATATATAATAGTTTATTAATGAATATGTAAATTGCAACCAATTTTAACAGAAATTGGCACGAAGGCCTATATGTACAGTCTAATTAAGAAAAGAGTATGAAAACATGAAGAGAAAATGGTACAAAGTTATTAAAAGAAGAATATATGTAAAGTGGTGAATTATGTGAGGCTATAATTATATAATAAGTTGGGATTATATCACCGGAATCGCCTTGAGGCATTTCTTCGGTGTTTTGGGATGACAGACAAGTCCTTAGCATCTTTTTCCTTATTGGTACTTTTTCCACAAATTGGCTGATGGTCTGCCAGTTATTAGTTGAATAGAGCATAAAATTAACAACGGTGGAAGGTTCTAGCCTATAAGATGTCTTGGTTTCTAGATCATTTCGAAGATGTGTGAAGACAGAACAGTCGAAGAACGTATGAGAAGCTGTGTCATTTATGTCTTGGTTACAAATTGTACAAAAAGGAGATGTTTTTATTTTAAACCTATATAAATAATAATCAAAATCCCCGTGCCCAGTAAGAAATTGCGTAAGATAATAGTTTGTATATCCATGTGTTCTATTCATCCACATATCAAAATCAGGTGCCACCTGCCCCGTTCAAATCTTCATCAAAAGTTTTTATATCATTCTATTCGGTCAAAATATCATTCATAAACCTCATCCTATAATGAATATAATAACACCTAAAGTTTCCTTACTAAGACAGGAACTTTTTGGCGCTTTACTCTACTGTAATTAGCCTTGCGGCTTGAGATTTTTTAAATTATTTTTTAAAAATTTATCATCCTTAATCTTACTGAAACTGGCCAACAAGTGTACTGAAATATATTGTTTCTTGATAAATAGTAATACTGAATGTTCTGACCATTTATCTCGGAGAAAACAATTTTTTTTACCGCCATTCAATTCTCAGGTTTGAGGGGGTTTTTTGCCGCTAACTGTTACGACATCATTTCTAACCACTTAAACATTTGTATATAAATTTAAATGACATATTCTTAAATCTTCATGAGAAGGACATTACCTTCTGGCCAATGAGATTTAAAAATAATTCCCTCTCAAAGATAAATGGGGGGGGGGAGGGGGGTAGTCCAGTTACCCCACGATGTTGAGTAACTGGATAAAAAAACAGGAAATCTTGAAAAACTGTGGGGAAACATCAAGAGACGAAATTCGACTTTTGCCTCATCCTACATTTAGAGTTTGTGTCGCATACTTACTAAAAAAAGAAAAAAAGTAGCCTCTATAGTAAACAAAAAGATGGGGAAAAAATCATAAAGTTGAAATTTTGAAATTTTTCTCCGAACTCTTGCCCAGTTACCTGACCGCACCATATCTGATAAAAATAATTGAGCACTCTAGGAAAAACTAGTTACTTACTAAAAACTCACAGTAACTTTTATGATTTTTAGTTTGATAGCAGTCTTCAAATTCAAGTATAATTAAAAAGTTTCATATATTGTAACATGCGTCTTACTTGGAATGACAAGCAGGACAGGTGACTCCCTGGTCAACAAGCTGCTTTGCTAACATGGAACCAGGATCATTTGATTCGAGCCATTCATTGTGTTCCTCGCAGGTTTTACCCTCATGATCTTTTGTCCACTAAAATTTCGAAGAAAACACGTACTTATGAAAATTTCTGATGAAAAAATGAGGCTGAAAAAGTCAGGGGGAGGGGGTTGGGTGAGCTGCTTACTTGACGCCTATTTCTGTGAACAGTGGATCTCAGAAGCAGCGCACCCTAGCATTCAATTTGTGAAAATTTGAAGACATCTATTGGGTACCCAACTTTCTTTCAATTTTTGTCACAAGGTAATTGCAATTATTTTACAATCTACCCAAGTAGCATTGTCATCTACTTTCTAGGTGGCGCTCATCAAGAAAATGTCTACTTTCTAGATACAACAATTTTCTTGAAAGAAAATATGTAGGTATAAAGTAGATCTAGAAAATAGACACGAGAAAATAGAGAGTAAAAACATTTTTTCCTTGCATTTTCTTAAATGAAAACAATAAGAAATTGGCTAGAAAATAATTCTACTTTCAATAAATTTTCTTTCTTTTTTCCAAATGGAAAGTTGACAGAAAGTAGACCTATGAAATAGATCTATTTTCTTTGGTCAGACTTTTGACTCGCAATGTTTCTTCTTTCTATTTTCTAGATAACTCTCATTTTCTTGGTATTTTCTAGAAGTTTTCTTAATATTTTTTTTCTAGGAAAAAATTTTAATTTGCTACTTTGGTAATGGCAAAATCTGGGTCAATTGTTGCAGAAAAAGTACAATATTACTGCAATAAAGTTGGGATAAATGACACAATTTTTTGCAATCGAGTTGCAACTTTTTCGTTGCAAAATGCTACTTGGCAGTGGTATCTTTGAAACACAAGGAATAATTCATCCTAGATTAATAGCAATTAATATATTCAATCTTATATAAATACTTACTAGACGATGACATTGGGCACACGAGGTAGAACGGCAGTCTGGACAAGTTAAACGTTTTTGACGCAGGTCTGCAATAAAACCAAATGAACACTGGAAAAAAAAAAAGTACTCATGAAACAGGGGAAACTTTGCCATTCTTCGTAGGCTGAGAAAAGGTATTTAGTGAGAGTGGGCGACGAATTTCGGCAATAAAAAAAAAACATGGCAGTTTCATGACTGGGCGAGTATTTACATACAGGGTGATCCAAAAGTCCCTTCCACCCCCTCTAACTTTTTACCTAATTGAGGCAAAGATTTGAAACTTGGGGGATATTCCTAGGTATAAGGAAGCTACTTTTTGGCCCCCCTAAAATTTTCAGGGGGGCCTCCCTTGGGGAGGCAATGGCCCCCAATTTTTAATTTTCATATGGGAAGACCCCCTTTGTGATAGCTCGTTCGAAAGAGCATAAAAAAAGAAAACTTTTCGCGCAAACCCGAAGTCAATATCTCAAACCGTTTCAAAATGGCGGCCGGTTAAAGTTCAAAATGACCGAAAATTCACACCGGTTATTTGTCGATGGATTTGCGTGGAAATCGGTAGGTAGAGGTATTTTGAAACGAGAAAAACGAATTTGACGTTAGATTTTCAAAAAAACCGAAATTTCCAAAATGGCCGCTGGTTAAAGTTCAAAATGATCAAAACTTGATTTTTTTTAGAAATCTAAGTTCAAATTTGTTTATCTTATGCCAAAATACTCTAAAATTCCAAGTTTTAGGCAAATCCATCAGGAAAAAACCGGGGTGACGATTTTCGGCCATTTTAAACTTTAACCGGCGGCCATTTTGGAAATTTTGGTTTTTATGAAAATCTAACGTCAAATTCGCTTTACTCGTGTCAAAATACCCCTGCACACCGATTTTCGCGCAAATACATCAACAAATAACCGGTGTGAATTTTCGGCCATTTTGAACTTTAACCGGCCGCCATTTTGAAACGATTTGAGATATTGAATTCGGGTTTGCGCGAAAGGATTTCTTTTTTTACGCTCTTTCGAACGAGCTATCACAAAGGGGGTCTTCCCATTTGAAAATTAAAAGTTGGGGGCCATTGCCCCCCAAGGGGGGGCCCCCCTGAAAATTTTAGGGGGGCCAAAAATTAGCTACCTTTGTAGTCCAGGCAATAGAGCTCAAAATAGGAGGTTTGAGGGAAAGTTTAGTCGAACTAGCAATTATGGGCTAACTTTATATTTTTTGAGTCGTAGAATCCGAATTTCGACTTGCCTGACAGATTCGACCCTCCCCCCGGCCGCCATTTTGAAAAAACGACAAAAATTTACGGTTTGTCCTCATTTTTCGCTCATAACTTTTTTTTTGTTCAAAATATCGATAATTCCGCCATTTTTGTCGAAAGACGATTAACTTTGCAAGAGATTGGTATATACATATGTACACTTAACGTAAAAATCGCGAGAATGGAAGCGTGAAGAAGGCAGCGAGAGATATCGATCTTGCGCCATTAGATACTTTACACCCTGCATCCCATGCAACCATTCACGTGTATAAGTCATATTGAACAAGCGGTTATATTTCAATGTATTATTTTATTAATCCCATTACATAAATGACAGGTTACGGATTTGGACAAAATCAAAATTATTTTCAAAATGTGGACATGTTTAATAAGTAAGAGAGTTAGTCCAATCGTGGGCGTTTGGCAGCTCGATGCAACGAAGTTCTAACTTTTGGTGACGGACAGGTGGATGGGCCTCTGGTTCTCCTCCATAGACATCACGGCCGGCGTTGATCTCCGACTCTAACACAGTATCCAGAATATGAAGGTAGAAGTCAGACGAAAAAAAAAGAAACGAAAAGGAAAGGAAAGAAAAGAAAAGGGGAAAAAAGGAACCTAAATTGATGGAAAATTAAAATTTTCGCATCACTAATCCCAAATAGAAAAAGCATTCTGGTTTACTGTATCTATCAGTCTGGTATTCATTTATGGTGTGTATTTCTGATAATCCTTACCGAAATTTTTGGTAATGATTATCAGGAATACGTGTCACTAACGAACACCTGATTGTTTAATAAAGCTTGCCATGGTATTTTTTCTATGCAAGAAGTTTTTGATAACAAGCGAGCAGTGTAAAAGAAATAACAAACCTTTAGGTTCATTGTTAATTTCTGAATGTTCGCTTTCTGGAAGGTGTTTAACTTCAGTCATGACAGCTTCAAAATCTTCTTCTGTACTTGGCTCGTCGAAAAAGTCATAAGCTTCAACATCATCCTCGTCCTCAGAGTCCGCGAAAGCAATTTCAGGCATGTTTTCGCATGTATCACTGCAGTTGATGCACAATGCTGAGCATTTAAGCCCACATTTCCTGCAACCGCACGCGCCTCGACAACTCGTTTTGCACTTACAGGATTATCAGAAATACACACCATAAATGAACACCAGACTGCTTGATACAACAAACCAGAATGCTTTTTCTATTTGGGATTAGTGATGCGAAAATTTTAATTTTCCATCAATTTGGGTTCCTTTTTTTCCCTTTTCTTTTCTTTTCTTTCCTTTTTTTTCGTCTGACTCCTACCTTCATATTCTGGATACTGTGTTAGAGTCGGAGATCAACGCCGGCCGTGATGTCTATGGAGGAGAACCAGAGGCCCATCCACCTGTCCGTCACCAAAAGTTAGAACTTCGTTGCACCGAGCTGCCAAACGCCCACGATTGGACTAACTCTCTTACTTATTAAACATGTCCACATTTTGAAAATATTTTTGATTTTGTCCAAATCCGTAACCAATCATTTATGTAATGGGATTAATAAAATAATACGTTGAAATAACCGCCTGTTCAATATGACTCGCACATAAAGGGTTGCAGGGATAAAGGGTGTTGGTACGAGTATCTAATGGCGCAAGATCGATATCTCCCGCTGCCTTCTTCACGCTCCCATTCTCGCGATTTTCACGTTAAGTGTACATATATATATATACCAATCTCTTGCAAATTTAATCGTCTTTCCACAGAATTGACGAGATTTTTGATATCTTGAACAGAAAAAAAGTTATGAGCGAAAAATGGGGGAAAATCGTAAATTTTAGTCGTTTTTTCAATATGGCGGCCGGGGGGGGGGGGTCGGAACTGTCAGGCAAGTCGAAATTCGGATTCTACGACCCAAAAAACATAACGTTAGCCCATAATTGCTAGTTCGACTAAACTTTCCCTCAAAAATTCTCTATTACCTGGACTATTGGCCTAGGATTATCCCCCAAGTTTCAAATCTTTACCTCAATTAGGTAAAAAGTTAGAGGGGGTGAAAGGGAATTTTGGATCACCCTGTATAATAGTTGAAAATGGTTTCATTTGTTTGAATTACCGTGAGCTTTACGAAATTAAGTACTAGGACATGTTCAAGAAGGTGTCCCTGGAGACGTCGTCAAGAATTTTTTCCCAACCCAAACTAACTTAATTTCTAGTATGTAGAAGGAGCTTTTACCTCGAATTCATGCTCATTCATTTCTCTCTTATTTTGTACTACTTTTGAGTCAATTTTTAAGAGTGTACTTCATTACATTCTCATTTCGACGAAAAACTAAGAAAAATTGATAATATTAGATAAGGGAGATACGTGGCTCAAATGCACAAACTGCATTATAAAAACGACAACTACATACGTAATGAGAGAATTCGGAGGTCAGTTTCCCCAAGGAACAACCCATTGTTTATTTAATTTTGTGCCCAGTTTTGTGTATTACACCAGGAAAACATGTATTTAAGGTATAGCTCCTCTACTGTGTGGCAAAAGTGTTGCGGGTGATAAACCATCAAAAGTTGGTAACAATCCCCTCCCAGAGAAAGTTGTGTTTGTAGGTGTGAAGGTGGTGGGCTGGAAAGCAAGACTACGAAGCCATTATCATGCTTGAACACTTTTATTTAACGAAAGTGACACACAACCATCAAAGATATAAAAAGACCAAAAAGACACGCAATACAAGGTTCATACCGCTATGATGGTCGGCTCACGAATGAGGGTTGTTGTCATCGATGGCTGGTGAGCCACCGACAACCCCAACACCTCCCTTTTATAATAAAAAAATTCCTTTTTCCTCCCTTACCCGAAGGAAGCAAATGCAATGCAGCCAGTAAGGCATTTTATAAATAATAAGCCATTTAGGCATTGATAAAAACAGAGAAGCCATTGGGGCATTAATCGTGCACATAGCCATTGGGGCATTAATAACTCACTAGCCATTGGGGCATTAATAGAACAAATAGCCATTAGGGCATTAATAACTCACTAGCCATTGGGGCATTAATTGAACACATAGCCATTGGGGCATTTATAAACTCACAAGCCATTGGGGCATTAATATAACAAATTAGATTACCTATCAGGCACAATGAGCAATGAGGTACAGACGCAATAATGAACAGAGAGCCGTAGAAGCCTTCATGAACAAGTAGCCGTAACACAACATTGAACAATGAGCCGCGAAGGTGTTGATTAGTTTAGAGCCGAAGAGGCATTAATCGCAAATAAGGTTTTATGAAGCTAAGATTGATAAAAGACACCATTTTTTGCTAAAATTTTAACACTAAGTTTTAAGGTTAAATATTAGGCATCATCCTGTTAATTAAAACACAGTTAAAATTATTTTACACTAGCATTTCATTTTCAAGTTTATAAAATACACAAGTGCATTTCGTTACTGCAACATTACAATGACAAAAGTAATTACAGACACTGATATAGAATAGAGGCTGTTAACAGATGACAAATTTGTCTGAATTAGTTGAAAATGTGTTATACATAATGGAATTAGTACAAAAATATTACACTGTTAATTCGGATTTACTTTGTAGTGCATAATAAGGTCCGATTATTCTGTAAGAGACCGGAATTTACTTAGAAACAAAGTTGGGATCCAGCTTTTTTGGGCAACCTCTACCGAAATTTCTAGTGGCAGGTTTGATTGGAGAGGCAAAAATTTGATTAAAGTTACTACTTGATTTATCAAGATTCCGTATGCCTACTTGATGAGTTACAGATTCAGTTTGCTGCACAGGGGTTGATGAGCTTGGCTGAGTCTCAAAACCTAGAAAATCC